TTGGTACAATTACATCAATTATGCATAGTGCAATAGACAATGAAGTAGAAAAAATAAAAATAGTGTCATCAGAATAGAACATATTATAGAACGCATAAGCGTTAAGTTTGAAGTAATGGATAGAGTGTTTGTTATAAGAAAACAATTTTCTATATGTTTAAGTTATGGTATGACTATTCATAAAAATCAAGGCCTGAGTTTAAAACATGTTGTTGTAGAGGCTGGAAATTCTGTATTTAGTTGTGGACAAATATATTACAAATGTAAAAAAAATACGCCAAGTACATAAAAAATATTCCACCTTGTATGCAACAAAACGTTTAATAAAAAAATACCCTTATAATAAATAATTTATAAAAATTTTCCCTCAAAATATATATATTATTTTCCTAAAAAAAATCAAAATTAAATATGAAATCAATGATTAATTATCCAAGTACATTGAAGTAATTGATAGGGATTTCTAATTTGAAATATTTGTCACAAATTCAATCTTGCATTTATATATTAGATTCTCGACAAAATAAAAATGAAATTCAAAATAAGTTCCAAATAAATTTAGAACTAAAAAAATTAAGACCAAAATAACTTACAAAAATTTGGCGTGCTCGGGTCACATTATAATACATATAATTTTACAAAGTTTGCGAATTATATACCTGTAATTAATTTCAATTATAGAAATATGTGAATTATAATACGACCCGGAGCATGCCAAGTTTTTGTAAGTTGTTTTGGTCTTAATTTTTTTAGTTCCAAATTTACTTGGAACTTATTTTGAAATTCATTTTTATTTTGTCGAGACTCTAATATATAAATGCAAGATTGAATTTGTGACAAATATTTCAAATTAAATCCTTATCAATTGCTTCAATGTACTTGGCTAATTAATCATTTATTTCATATTTAGTTTTGATTTTTTTTAGGAAAATTATATATATTTTTTGAGAGAAAATTTTTATAAATTATTTATTATAAGGGTATTTTTTTATTAAACGTTTTATTGCATACAAAGTGGAATGTTTTTTATGTACTTGGCGTATTTTCTTTTACCTTTGTAAAGTTTTTTTTGGAAGGATTTCACATCTTTTTGTAAAATTTATATTTTCTGCAAAAAATATATATGCATTTTTAGCCCTTCTGGGCCAACTACACTTTTGTACTGCTAAATCATTTATTAATTGCTATCCGGTATATTACTATATACTATACGTCAAAATTATTGATTTAATTAAGTTTTTATCATTAGATATTCACTATTATAGATTTCATTATTATTGCATTATTATTTATTATAAAGTAAAATTTTGTTTCACGTATGAAGAATCAAAGAAAATTTTAGAAATTCAGATTTAATTAAAATAAAACATGCTCCAATTCTGTCATTGTATTAGATTTCTATCTTAAACAAAATGAAATTTAAAGTAAAATTTAGCCATTACTAGGTTTAAAGAGAAAAAAAAGAAGTTAAAAATTCGGAAACTTAAACAGATATATATATATATATATTGTGACGTTGCTGTCACGACGGACGTCCACCCGCCAAAAAGACCGTGGGGCGCGAGCCGAGCGGCCGCGCCGGTCGAGAAATCGAGAGCCCCGCCGGGGATTTTCAGAGAGGCGAGCGCGTTCGTTTATAAACAAAAGCATTGTTACTAATCCTATTTGTCGAAATTATATTGTTTCGGAGGCCATAAATCTTCAACGAAGATTTACTTGGAAGTCTACAAGAAAAGCAACCTTGCCGAATCATCACCGATCAAAACATCGGCCGTAGAAAACAAGGGTCGGCGATACTCGATCAGCCTCGCACAATTTCGGTCCATCGGCCCAGCATCCCAGGGCCGGCCAGCCATGACGGGCGCCGAAAGCACCCCGCGAAGGTGCGAAACCTCCTCGGAAAAATCCGGACAATCGCTGCCCTCCACTGGAGAGGGACGAAGGCAGCAAAGATCGGCCCTGACGGGAGAATTCCAGAGCACCTGGCGCTGAAAAACGCAAAGGAGCAGCGGACCGTCGGAGGCGCGGGACCGCGGGCGCACGATGCGCCCTTGCGCCACGCTCGAAAATCCGAGCGCGCGAGAACGGGTCAAGCACCCTTCTCGATGGGGTGCGGAGCGAATAGTTAAGGATAAATACGGCGATTCCGAGAGAATGAGAAGACTTGTTCTACGAAATTTTCGGCGAAAAGTTAAGAGAGATTATCGCGGACGCTCGGCACGGGAAAGACGAATTGGCGGAAGCAACGAGTGAAGAATTCAACGGTGAGGTCACCCGGCTATCTTCGTGTCTAATTACGAAAATTTGTACGCCGTCCACTGATACGGCTCGCGGGTGGACCCCTCTGGCCGGTCGCGATTAGTGTTTCGTTTGCGTAAATTTCGCGGTGGTGAAAAGAAGTCGAGTGCGACCGTAGTCAAGGGGCGACAGTGATCCGTCGATCGGTCTCACCCGATATACTCGTTCGCCTCTCCGTTATCCGTGTGACGCGCGTTAGTGTAGAATTTTTAACTCGAGGCTATCGCCGGTCGGAGTGGAGCGACTCCGACCGATTGTAAGTGCTGTCGACCGCCACCCCAGGGGAAAAGTTCCGCGACAGCTTGAGCGGCAAATTGGTGAGTACCTTGGAAATTGTGACAGCGGACCGGAAGTTGCGCGACCAAAGTGGGCCTCGATTCTCGACCATCTCTCTCTACGTGCGTTCTTTTTTTTTTGCGACTCGCAGTCCGCTGACCGCGGACGTGCGAACAATCGGCTGTCGGAGGCGTAAGCTATCGACACCCGCCGTGCCGTGTGTGCACCGGCGGGAACGCCTTATCGTTGCGATACGCGAATTCCGCGTTCTGATCGACTAGATATTACCGTTCTTTCAGTAGGTTACATCGTCTTGGCGTTACTTCTGTTACTGCAATTAAATAATATAAAGTATTAAGTGTTCATTTCCGTTTTCGATAATTCTAAGATCTCGTATTTCTGTCTGTTTTTCGTACTCGAAATAGCGCGCCTCGTTCGATTCTCCGAAATCATAAGCGCTCGCGCGCTTCTTTCCCTTCTCCGTAATTGCAAGAGCTCGCGCACTTCTTTCGGTTCTCAGTAATTGTAATGTTCGGTGCTTCTCGCTATTCTCCGTAATAATAGAGTTTCGCGCGTTCGAGTCTGTTTACCGTAATTATAAAGTCTTGCTTTGACTCTGTTTACCGTTATTATAAAGTCTTAGCTTTCTTTTCGGTTAGTTATCTCAAGCGAACATTTGCTGTGTCACGTCTCATTATTCATGTTATTTTTGATTGGATTTTATATTTCATTTGCTTGTCTTTAATCGAAGTATTGTGAACCTCGTTTCAATCTGATTTGTCATTCGATTTGGCTTTTATATTTTTCTCTCATTTATTATTTTTCTATTAATAAATCTGTTATATTGCCTTGTTAAATTCGCGTAATTTATTTGAATGTTAGTCCCCTGTAGTCGTCGATATCCGTTTCTGTGTCTCTCGCACATCGAATTAATGAAATCACCGTATAATTAATTGGCTCGCTCTCAGAACCCCTCCCCTCTACCGTTAGGCGAGCTAGTCAGCCCGTGGCGAAGCAGGCTATCATCTTTCGCGCTGTTTAAAAATTTCGTGGAAAACTGATGCGTGAAAGACCGCATCTGGCGCTCAACCTATCGAGATATCGAACTGCCTCCGCCCCGCCGCGACCCGCGCGAGCACCCTTCATCCCTGTTCCTCCGAGCGCGGAAATCTTATATTCATCCTGTGTTTGACGGCGTTCTATCCGATTAAAATTAGAATAAAGAAGGAGAAAAACGTCGCAATATATATATATATATATATATATATATATGTTCGCGAGCGGATCCGGCAAGAGATTGCGCGAACGTTGAAGGATAGGCCAGTGCAGTGAAACTCGTGATATTCACACAAAACAATAGTTTATTAGAGTTCAACGATGACCGTGACAAGTGTACAGAGCAACGAACGGTGCGACAAGCGAAGCGGTTAAACTCGCGGGAGATCGCGAGCGGCGTGACAGATCGAGCGTGCGGGAAATCAAAGTCCGAGAAGAATTGCGGTTGTCGTATAATATTTGCGGTTTGACTGAGCGATAAGATTAAGCGGTATAGTAAGCGAAAAGTGCGAGACTTTTTTGGAGTCTACGCGCGGAGCTACTTATATCGCGAGCGGGATTTTGGGCCCGCTGGAACGTGGCCCAATTAATTTGTAAATTGGCGGTGACCTCAGGGAGCCGCACGTTATTGGCCGCCGATGAGGTCAGGGGCCAAAGTTTTTACAGTTGCCATGCGCACGCTCCTATTCGATCAGCTGATTGGCGTGCAGCTGATCGTGACGTGCGGGCGCGCATGCCCGTGTGTTGCTTTAGTTTTGACGGCGGTTGGCGATGTTATTGTCAATCGCTTAATTTCAAGCGTTTTTATGCGGTGCAAAAACGAGCGGTGACTCAAACGTTCGAGTTTTGTTTACCGAACGAAGGCTCGAGAAAGTTCTCGATGCCCGTTAGATTTGAAATACGGATTTTAGCAACGCGAAATTTTACATTGAGATAATCGATTACGCATTTCGAACATCCAGCCCGCCTCGTCAGCGCGTGACGAAATTCGCGAGTAGGAACGGGGACGGGCAGATGTCGCAAGCGGCAATTGGCGGTATCTGGATCGCGATCGATGAATGGAATGTGTGACGCAATACGATAACACGTGTTGTTCAGTTGATTTCTATCTTTCGCGAGACTAAGAGTTGCGGTAGTGAAATACGGTGATATTTACAGTGAAATAATGAAAAGTAGTGCGATGTGAAGTGCAATGATTAATAGGGATCAATTGTGCATCGCTCGGGGATGCACAATGTACAGTGAGTGGGTAACTAGGGATGCGAATGAGGAAATCGCGGCGAGAACGCGAGATGGGCGACGGACAGCTGTAATGAAAAATATATACACGATATATACAATATGTACAATATAGTGAGGCGCGCAAGACTCTACGCATCGCGGGGAGAATAGTGCCCGAGCATTATTCGCCTACGGACGCGCGAGCCTCCTTGACTCCCGGTAAAAGGACGAGTTTTACGACTGGCCGAACGAGATCCGAGGTGGAGGTGCGGACAGTCACAACGCGGACCGTGCCATCGCTTCCTGGATGCAGCGCGAGTATTCGCGAGGGGCCATCGGGAAGGCAGGGTGATCTCCGAGCGGATGAGGCACAATGCTCCGACCTCCGGAGCGGGCTCGGATTTGAGCCATTTTGATCGAGGTGCCAAGGCGTGGACATACTCCTGAGACCATCGCTGCCAGAAGTGGTCACGCATTCGTTGCAGCAGCTGCCACCGGGATAGGGCGTTCGGACGCCGTTCGGCTAGTGAAGGCTCTGGGACCGCCAGTAGAGGGGCGCCTATTAGGAGATGCCCAGGAGTCAATGCGGTGATGTCGTCGGGGTCATCTGAGAAAGCCTGCAATGGACGAGAATTTAAACATGCTTCGATTTGTGAAAGAAGAGTACTCATCTCCTCGAAGGTGAGCGTAGTCTCTCCTATCACCCGTCGCAGGTGGTGTTTCATGGATTTCACCGCCGTTTCCCAGAGGCCTCCGAAGTGCGGCGCGGCGGGAGGATTGAAGCGCCAGGATATCCCTTCCTTGGCGACTTCCCGAGAGATGCGACGGCCGTCGGAAGACGACGCGCGGAAGAATTCTCGGAGTTGGTTGTCCGCCCCGATGAAGTTAGTTCCGCAGTCCGAGTACATTTCCTCGCACAGTCCGCGACGGGAAACGAACCTGCGGAATGCGGCGAGGAAGGCGTCAGAGGAGTAGTCAGATACTACCTCAAGATGAATGGCTCTGGAACAGAGGCAGACGAACACGGCTATGAACGCCTTGTGAGCCCGATGTCCTCGCCCCTTGGAAGTGCGGAGGAATATCGGGCCAGCGTAATCGACTCCTGTCCTCAGGAAAGGGCGTGCTGGAGTAACTCGCCCCCGAGGGAGGTCGGCCATGAGGGGCCGTGGGGTGTGGGCTCGCCAGCGGGTGCATGTCACGCACCGGTGCAGTGTCCGCTTGATTACGGCTCGACCTTGCGGCACCCAGAAGCGGAGGCGAAGGAGCCCCAAAGTGAGCTGAGTGCCTCCATGAAGCGTCCGGCGGTGGCAAGACTCTATCACTAGCTTGGTGAGCCATGAAGTGGGCGGCGCTATCATAGGATGTCGTTCATCGTAAGTGAGTATTGCGTGTTTCAGGCGGCCGCCGACGCGCAGGATCCCGTCGTCGTCGATGAATGGATGCAGCCTGGCCAGGTGGCTACCGCGAGGCACTGGGCGAGACTCTCGCACGGCGGCTAGTTCAACGGCGTAGTGGATCCCTTGGACGATTCTCAGCCAGCGAATGAGGGAGGCGTCGAGCTCGTCCGAGAGCAGTGCGACGCTGGGAGGATGACGAGCGGTCCGGCGCCAACGAAGACACCAAGCAGAGACACGTAAGAGCCTATGCAGTGTCGAGAACTGTAGGAGTATTTCAGGCTCCGGTCTGACCTTGCTGATGGCCGTTAATACCGTGGTTTTTGTTTCAGGAACGCTGACCATTGATGCCTCGTCGCTGGCTGGCCATAGTGACGAGTCGCCGAGAAGCCAGCCGGGGCCCTCCCACCATAAGGGGTGGTTCAGCAGATCCCTCTGGAAGCACAATCGGCAGGATTCTCTTGACCCGGGACGTGTCGCCACTGCGCTTCGGGGAGCCGGTCCTGGATCAGCGACACTCTATTGGCCACGTAGGTTTTCCACCGCGAAGCATGACCCTTGATCCAGTGGAGGACAACCTTGGAGTCGGACCAGAGATATACTGGCGCCGACACCTCCAGTGATGACCGGAGGTGGTGCACGAGATTGGTCAGCAAGGAGGCAGCGCAGAGTTCCAGCCGTGGGAGCGTCACGGGCTTAATCGGCGCGACCTTGCTTTTCGCGGCCAGTAAGTAGATGGACGTTTCTTCCGTACTGGACACGCGAAGGTAGACGACGGCCGCGTATCCACGCTCAGACGCGTCGGCGAAGCCGTGGATCTCGACCGTCGGATCCTGTTGAATGACACCCAGCCAGCGCCTTATTCGGAGGCGCTCCAGCAAATGGAGCTCGGAGAGGAGGCGCTGCCAAGACTGAGCGTCCTCCGCTGGGAGCGGAGAGTCCCAGTCCAGCCTTTTCAACCATGCTGACTGGATTAAGATCTTGGCGCGGATGATCACAGGAGCGAGCCATCCCAAGGGGTCGAATAGCCGTGCCGTTTCCGCCAGGACTCGCCTCTTAGTGAATTCGCCAGTGCTTCGAGGCTGGATGGCGAAGGAGAAGTCGTCGCTGGCTGGATGCCAACGCAGGCCTAAGGTGGAGTGTACCTCGCTCTCCCAGGAATGGTGTGCCTGTTTGAGTCGATGATCGGGAGGAACACCCTCAAGGATGGCCTCGCTATTGGCGGCCCATTTCCGCAGCGGAAACCCGCCCGCCGTGCAGAGCTCTCGGAGCTCCGTCTGCAGGGCGACCGCGTGCTGCAAGGTGTCCGACCCGGTGATCACGTCGTCCATGTAGCAGTCATGGCGCAGAGCGGTTGCTCCCTTTGGGGCTCGTGCCTCTTCGTCGGCCGCCAATTGGTGGAGAGTGCGGACAGCGAGGAACGGAGCACAGGCGAGCCCGTAGGTCACGGTGTTCAGCTCGTACTCTTGGATCTTGCCGGAAGCCTTTGGACGCCAGAGTATCCGCTGGAAGCGACGATCTTCAGGGTGGACGAGTATCTGCCGGAACATCTTCTCGATGTCGGTGACGAACACGAAGCGGTGCCGGCGCCAGCGAAGGAGGACATCAGCTAGTGCCGGCAGTAAGTTGGCGCCGATCAGCAGATGTTGGTTGAGGGAGTCCCCCGAGGCGATACGTTGCGACCCGTTGAAGACGACGCGGAGCTTGCTGCAGGAGTTGGACTGGCGGAGGACTCCGTGGTGAGGTAGGTAGCATCCTGCGGTACCGACCGTATTCACAGGACTCATGTGTTTCAGGTCCTCGTACTCCTGCATAAACTCCCGATACCGGATGCCGAACGCAGGATCTCTCTTGCTCCGGAGGTCCATCGCTGACAAGAGGCTTTCAGCCGGTTTACGGGTTCCACCAAGCGACGTTGGCGGGGAAGAAAACGGAAGTCGTACTACGTATCTTCCGGACGCAGTTCGCTGGTGAGTACTTATGAAGAGGGTCTCGCACTCTTGATCCTCTGGTATAAGGGCAACAGAGGAGGGGAGTTCCCTTTCCTGTTCCCAAAAGCTGTGCACAAACTGATTGAGCTCTTGGTCGACAGTGCACTGCAAGGAGTTACGGAGTCCTTGGAAGGGTGCTGCGCTGGATCCCCCTGACAGGATCCATCCCAGGGCTGTTTTCTGGGCGACGGGATCTTGAGGACCACCCTTGCGAAGGCCGACCTCTAGGATGGTTGAGCAGACTTCCGCGCCCAACAATAGTTCTACCGGATCGAACTCCTGATACCTGGGGTCGGCGAGCTCAAGACCATGAACGTGAGGCCAGGAGGGGAGGTTCTTCACCGAAGAACCCTGATAGGCCGACAGGCGCGGTAACACGAAGGCGACGGCCTTGAGTTTGGCCCCGGTGATCATCAAGGAGAGACTGAGTGCTACTCTCTCGCGGGTTGACCCGGATCGCGATTCGCCGATGCCGATTATGGACACTGAGGAGCGGGAGCGGGAAAGTCTCAGCCGTTGGACCAGTGCTTCGGAGATGATCGACACCTCGGATACTTGATCGAGCATCGCTCGGACCGGATGAAGACCCCCGGCGCGGTCAGTGAGGTACACGCGAGCTGTCGCGAGGAGGATCGCCTTACGCTCAGACGAGGAGTGCATCGCAGACAGGGCGTTCACCTCGTTGGAGGAGGGCGAAGTGTACGCGTCGTGCAGCGTAGTGTGGTGCTTGCTCTTGCACGTCAGACAGGTCTTCACAGACTGGCACTTGGAGATCATGTGGTTCCCGAGACAGTTGTAGCACAGTCTACCTTGCTCTACAAAGGACTTTCGGTCTATCGCGGACTTCGCCTTGAAGTCGTTACACTGCATGAGGGTGTGCTTCCCCTGGCACAGTGCGCACTTCAAGTAGTCGGATCCGGTCTTCGTGTGGTGAGCTTTCGCGGTTCGAGACGCGCCATCGGAGTTTGGTTGCGATACTCGCGGCCTAGCGGCGTTTAGCGTGAGAATGCGCTTAGCGATGAAGTTGACGAGAGCAGCGTGGTCTGGCGGATCAGTGGAGTCGCAGGTCGAGGACTCCCATTCCATCCGTGTACGCGAATCGAACAATTCGACGGTGAGGAAATTGAGGAGATCCATACCGTGGGAGTTGATGGGTCTCCCTATACTCTCCTGCGCGTTCACCGCGGTCGTTGTGAATGCGACCGAGTTCTCCCGCTGACTCGCACTTCATTTTGGGAACGGAGGTGAACGCGGCGAAATTAGAACGGATAAGCTCCCTCTTGTTCTCGAAGTGCTTGCACAAAATCGTCCAAGCGCGATGGTAATTATCACCGGTCACCGTTAATGATTTTATCAATTTTTCAGCGACTCCCTTGACACAAGACCGGAGGTAGTGAAATCGCTCGATGTCGGAGACTGACGCATTCGCCCCGATGACTGATTGGAAGAGGTCGCGGAATGACGGCCATTCTTCGTAAGATCCCGCAAACGTCGGAAGCTTGATGCGCGGCAACGAGGTTTTAGGAGCCCGGTCGTGGTCCGACTCGCCTCTGAGCGCGGCGGGCGTCTCGCCCTCAAGCTTCTCAGTGTAGCTGGTCAGCGTGCTACGTTGTGTCACGTAAGTATTCTCCGCGACTTCAATAAAATCAGATACAGCGTACTCACTCTCCTGATACTTGTCCTTCAGCGCCGCACGAATGAGCTCATGCTGGGTCTCCATTTTTTGCCAGAGATTGTCCAGGATGCCGAGGCGAGCTTGGATGGCGTCGCGGGTGATGTTGCTCACGCCCATCTTCCTCAGATTGTCCACGGCGCGGGAGATCCGACCATGAATGTCGTGCTGCGCTTCCAGCAGCACCTTCACTTCAGCACTCATGTCTAATATTCCTTTGTCTTTTCAGAGGTCACTTCACTCCACAAACTGCACGAGGGGATCACTCACGAAACAGCGGACGTGGATGATGGTAATATCCGGCTCGAAGGACCAGAAATGTTCGCGAGCGGATCCGGCAAGAGATTGCGCGAACGTTGAAGGATAGGCCAGTGCAGTGAAACTCGTGATATTCACACAAAACAATAGTTTATTAGAGTTCAACGATGACCGTGACAAGTGTACAGAGCAACGAGCGGTGCGACAAGCGAAGCGGTTAAACTCGCGGGAGATCGCGAGCGGCGTGACAGATCGAGCGTGCGGGAAATCAAAGTCCGAGAAGAATAGCGGTTGTCGTATAATATTTGCGGTTTGACTGAGCGGTAAGATTAAGCGGTATAGTAAGCGAAAAGTGCGAGACTTTTTTGGAGTCTACGCGCGGAGCTACTTATATCGCGAGCGGGATTTTGGGCCCGCTGGGACGTGGCCTAATTAATTTGTAAATTGGCGGTGACCTCAGGGGGCCGCACGTTATTGGCCGCCGATGAGGTCAGGGGCCAAAGTTTTTACAGTTGCCATGCGCACGCTCCTATTCGATCAGCTGATTGGCGTGCAGCTGATCGTGACGTGCGGGCGCGCATGCCCGTATGTTGCTTTAGTTTTGACGGCGGTTGGCGATGTTATTGTCAATCGCTTAATTTCAAGCGTTTTTATGCAGTGCAAAAACGAGCGGTGACTCGAACGTTCGAGTTTTGTTTACCGAACGAAGGCTCGAGAAAGTTCTCGATGCCCGTTAGATTTGAAATACGGATTTTAGCAACGCGAAATTTTACATTGAGATAATCGATTACGCATTTCGAACAAAATATAAAATATGTAATGAGTAAATAATAAAATATAATCGTCATAAAAATTTAACAACAAGTTTGTTGCGTATCGTAATATATATTATTTTATAAGGCAGCATCAACATATATAGTACATCCTCCCAAAACTTCAAATATATTTCCAATTTTACAAATATGATGTTACTGGCCGATCGTGATGGCCCGAAATCTCGGTAGCTCACGCAAACGGTGTCGGTAGAGGCGTGGAGTTCGCGGAGAGCGGGGGAGAGGAGGTCGAGAACACTGAGACAAAACTAATAGTAATCATAAAAATTCGTAACATATATTTCGTCAAGAAAAGAAAATCGAATAAAATAAAAAATGTATTTAATCATATGGTTGCCATTCCGACATAATTTCACGCGCACAACCAGTCGCAATTCGGTGAAATTTGTTTTATTTACGGCGTCTTATATTATGGCGGCGTCCCGTGAGCGAGATAAGGACAGCGCTATCGATGCGAACGGCCGCGATCAAGAGCGAGCGAGACAGAGCATGGATCACGCGGTCGATGCGTGTCTATTGTGAAAAGCCGGGAAAGACAAATAGATTATTAGCCGACGGGTTAATGAAGGTGCGGCAATTAATCGCACCCGCGATACTGTTCTCGCCCGCCCGAGATTTACCCGATAGCAATTGATACTTCGCGAGTCTCGCGCGATAGAATGCGGCAGGGCGTATGGCGCAATACAACGACGTTACGTTAATACGACGAGTTTCGGTCGAAATATAAAGATTTTCCGACAAACGACAGCCGAAACGCACAGATTATGCTAATAACGACGAAATAAGCTCACAACGACGATAGATTTCACGAAAACGCGGACAATTTACAATATACGACAACGCGAAATATGACACGGTGACTGGAGGCATTTCCCGGGGAAGCAGCGGTCCTGCAACAAAAGCTCGAATGAATTGCCCTCTATTATTCGCGTGTTTCCTAAAATCGCGAAAGAACGGAGACGTTAATGGCATATGGGCCACGTGCGACAAACGCGAATAATCGACATTATCTGATACGTAAAATCGAGGGCCCGACACAATTCACCCGAGCGGCAGCGAAATTGTTGGCCTTATAGAAATATCGTTCGTCTCACCAGAATGGTCCTCGAAGATCGTCAACAGAAAAAGCTCTCGGTATTCTCAACGGAATCTGCGTCCTTTTGTGTCGCTAGTCCGCCGAACAGTGAGGTGCGTGAGGTCCGCGGGAGACACGTCGGCGATCGTTTCCCCCGATTTTCCTCGCCGAATCTAATTGGCGCAAGGCCGTGTCGCGCCCTTCACGGGCCGATTTTTATCACGGCCGTAATTCTGCTGTATGGGTAATAACATGTATGGGCCCGGAAATTCTCGGCCGCAAAGAGAAATACTCTCGGTAGCAAACGCCCCTTGCCCCGCCTGACTTCCTCGGGGTTCGGGAAATCCTCCGGTGATCTCCAGGGTGATTCTCGTTATACTCCCGGCCCCGAGTGTAGGGCTGGTTCCGGTCGGGGTCCTCGCGACGCCGCTCCGAATTGAGGTCTCCCACGGGGATGTTGCCATGTGGAGTGCGCATCCTCTCTAAGTTTCTTTGAGCCTCCTCTTCCGAGCTGCGGTAATTAAAAGAAATAAATCAGGGGGGCCGGCATGTGTTCGCAGCAGCGAACAAATTTGAATTAAGATGAATTAACAATATTGATTCACCTGATGTGCTCCATTTTAGTCGGCAGAACCCCCGTCCTCACTGCATCTCCTCACATCCTGTCCGCCTGTCCTCCTCCCGACGACCGGTTGAGACGAAACGATATCCAAATCCGCTGAAAAGGCCAACACGAAACGCAAATGCAAAACGAGCGCGCAAAGACGCGTACACAAAAAGAAAATGCCTGAGAGAGAAATCGCAAAAGAGGACCGCTCCTCCGTCATAGCGGAAGGATGCAGGTTCCGAATAAGGCTCTCTCGGTCGGGCACTTTACCCCTGTAACGAACCACGCACAGGCGTCACGTCATAACTCCCCCTTCTCTGGGGAGGACCGAGGAGATCTTGGCTGTGACGAACGTCGACAGCCACCAACTTCGCCTAAGTACTCTACCTTATACTCTGGGTCAGCCTTCCAGACGACAAGCCGCGTATGCGGCATCCAGGGTTGCTCCTCTCTCGGGTCGGCCTTGGACAGTCACTGCTCATGATACAACGACGAATAACGGACCGCAATTACGAGTACACTAAATGATAGTCGGCGCACGCTCGCAAGTAACTCGCAGAGGGAAGGGGTGAGAGGGTCGGGTACACTAACTCCGAAGTAAATTACAAAGATAATTTATTTAAAAAAAAACGACGCCTCTCGTTGCTCCAAGGTCCTCCGCGACAGCAAGTGCGGGGTCCTCGACCCGACGGGTCTCCCGGCCGGGGCTCGTGGGCTGATCGGTTGCAGTCCGGGTTTCTCCTCACTGCGCGATTAAATCGGCCGACGTGGTGGCTGCTCTCCGGCCTGTACGGACCCAGGTCGCGCCAATTCTCCCCGCAGCGAGGGCAGACCCTCATAGTTACTCCGGACCGCCCGCACCCATAACAGAAGGGGCGGGAGTCCTTGGGATGGGGACATCCTAAGTAGCGGTGGCCGACCGCCTGGCAATTCCAGCAGCGGTCGGCCCCGCGAGCGGTCCCGTGGCGCTCCTCTGTTTGGGAGGCCCGCTCCCTGGTTGCCGGGATCGCCTCCACCGCAACTTCGCGCGAGGACGCCGGGCTCGTCTGCGTCCCTTTATCCCGGTAGCGGCTCCCCAACAGTCGCCGGACTTCCTCCAGGTTGGTCCTGGTCACTGCCTCCGCATCCATCAGGTCCATCGGTAGCTATCTATGAAGGATCAGGAGGGTGATAGTGTGACCGAACCGATGGAGAGAAATCGACAAAGCCCCGAGTTTGATCGGATTACAGCGGTTCAAGACCCTACCTTTATTTTCACGGCCGCGAACTCGTTTCTCCTTCTCACGAGCAAGGAGCGTGGAATCCGTCCTTTTGTCAAATTTCGGGATCCCTGGGTTGAGCACCACTTCGCCCTGGATCGTCGGAACGAGCACCCCTTGGCACTGCGACACTCTCAGACAGAGTCCTTTCGCTAAGCGGTGTGATTTTAACACCATTCTATAGCACAGGTCACACTCGGATCCTCAGAATGAGCACCCCCGAGCACTGCGACACTTGCGGACAACGTCCTTTTGTTACGCGGTGGAAATTTGCATCCTGTTGCGTCACTCGGATACACTACGCAACGGCTGAACAAAACCGTGTCGGCGTAACGCGACCCGGTGTCAAGTTACATGCGCGCACTGCGTCACCGCTAATCGCGATCTATCACTCGCGATACACGCAATTTATTTCGCGCTTTAATTGCGACAATTAATATCGCCGTTGTACCTCGTTTCCTCGAGCTTTCACGCGTCGGAACTACCCCTCGATAAATAAAGACGCTGAGATCTTATTAACTCTCTGTCTTCTTCACAGGTCGCGGACAATGATGTCGACAACTTCCGGAACCTTTTCCTTGGACTGCCGGACATGAAGAGCCACGATCCCAGACAGGAGACTATATTCTAGATTCAGTTCTTTGGCTTGGGAACACAAGGGTGTTTCCGCTTGATACGGAATAAATCACAGAACACTGACTGTTAATATTTTAATATTAAAATATTTATTAGAATAATAATAATAACTAGTATAATTATTATCCTGTTTACAGCGCTCGTGTGTTATCGTCGCACGTAATCTTACTTCGCACGAGATAACAATATTTTACGTCGCTCAACGATATTTAATCTGGCTAGTCGAACTCGCCTAGCTAACTTACTAATTAAAGTAATCGCCTAGCTAACTAATTAAAGTAATCGCCTAGCTAACTTACTAATTAAAGTAACAATTAACTGCACGGCAATCAACGTACGCCTTCTACAAATACGGTTATATAATCGCGACGGACTTTATCTTTCCTCAGCCACGATCCGAACTATCCGAACGCTCGTCGAGGAAAAAATCTCGGACGCTCCCTGCTCTCTGCTTTATAGCCTCCCCACCATTGCCGAGTCGATCTCCCTACTCCGCGGAGGCTCTGCCTATACATACGTGCACTTACAGCTCTCGG